TCTAGAGAGTACAATATTTAGGTATATGTTTGCCTACCTAGCTCCTTAGTTCTTCAACATGGTTTCAGAGCAATCCCTTCCGCTCAGGCCTTCTCCTCTCGCTTCCGCAGCGTACTCTCCCCCCTCCCGTCTCTTTCGCGCCGCCGTGGCAGTCATGTCGTGCTGCCATGGCGGCTTGGTCGTGCTGTCGTGGGAGCCTCGACACGCTGCCGGGGCGTCGAAGTCACGCCGTGGTGGAGTCGTTGTGCTGCTGTGGCGGCGTCGATGCGCCAATGCACGGACGGCAGCAGCCATTGCCCAGTTTTAGCGCCGTCCATCTCGCCTGCACGCCAGTAAGCGCCGCGCCATGGCTCCTCGCTGAAGATTCGCCCCCCCCCCCCCCCCCCCGCGCTCCCCCACCCCGCCCCTCCTCCTCTGCCTTTCCCCTCCTCCCCGCCGCAGCTGCTGGCGGCCTCGTGCCGTCCTTCCCCCTCATCGTCGCAGTGTGAGCCACGCCACCGGGTGCCTCGGGCGTCGCCGCTGCCGCCACCTGGTGCCTCGACGCCGCCGCCACCGCCGCAGGTGCTGCAAGCCCTGCCGACGCCGCCACCGCTGCGACCCGCCGTCGACATCGCCTCCTCGATTGCCGAGGGGTCGACCCGTTAGTAGACGCCACAGCTGCTGAAGGGCCAGGGGGTGCAAGGGTTTGGGGGTGTTGCGTATGGGGTGGGCTTTAGACTACCAAGCCTAGGGGGTGTGTCAAATTATATATTTTATGTATATATTTGTGTAGGCTTGGTAGGTGTGCTACGATTAATGAATCCTACTAGTTCTTTAACATGCACATAGTACACAGCGAAGATACGGTATCATGTCGGATGCACTACGTGTGTAGACCCGCATCTGAGAGTGAACAATGCACAATATTTGTGCACAATTACAACTGCTCATCATCACCCATTTTCCATCCTCACTGCTTGCTGCAGCTTGTCAGCCAACCTCCGAGCGTCCACCATAGCAGCACGCACCGCCTCCCTCTCACACAGCACCGGCAGCACCGGCAACACCCACCTCAACCTCTCTTTAATCACATCCGCTATAACCTGCATGCTCCTATCCTCCATCGACCCATCCTCCACTTCCTCCCTCTCCCTCTCACTCGCATTCACCAGCAGGCCCCTTGCACCCCAGTAGTGATTCACCCGTATCAAACCAGGATCAGCCACTAAGGTCTCTCCCGAGTGCATGAGGGCACGGTGGGGAGCATTGGAGAGGAACCCGAGGGCGGCGGCGGGCTGCAGCAGCAGCTTGGCGCGCAGGCGGTCGTGGTGGTCGGGCGGGCGCAGCGGGCGGTGGATGAATCGCTCTATAGTGAGGCGCACGGGGGGAGGGCGTGGGTAGCCGATGAAGAACTGGTTGTAGACTAGGATCTGGAGGGTGGGGAGGGGGCGAGGTGGGGGAGGGCAGAAAGGGGAGAAGGTGAGACGGCAGTGGTGAGTGAAGGGCGGTGGTGAGTGAAGGGCAGTGGTGAGTGAAGGGAGGTGGTGAGTGAAGGGCGGTGGTGAGTGAAGGGCGGTGGTGAGTGAAGGGCGGTGGTGAGTGAAGGGCGGTGGTGAGTGGAGGGCAGGGGAGAATACATGCAGTGGCGTGGAGACGATAGGAGGCTGTTGAGGCTGTTGAGGCCTGCACACGGTGATGTCTGGAAAGGGTAGTGGTAGCTCACCTGTGTGGCCTCTCGCCCTTCCCCCTCGCTCCCCTCTCCCTCTCCTCTTCCTCTTCCTGCCCCTTCACCAGTGCCTAACCGCACAGAATTGTCGCCACTCCTGCTGCCACCTGCACCGGAGTTTTGGGCGGCGCAGGGGCGGCGCAGCAGGAGGCGCGTGAGGAAGAAGGGGCGGGTGTCGGGCGGCATGAAGAGGTACTCGTCCACGTCAGCAAAGGCCACCCACTTAGACTCGTGGCGGTGGTGCTGGGGGGAATAGATCACCACGCGTGGGGGAAGAGGTGGGGGGGGAGGGGGGAGGGATGACTAAAAGGAGGGGGGGATGACTAAAAGCATGGCTTTAACAGACCTCAAACTACACGAGGTACAAGAGGGCGTGGAGTGAAGTGCGAGTGAAGTCAGATTTTGAGTCGACTCAAATGAAGTCAGACAGAGGAGGAGGCAGCGCAGGAGGGGAATTAAGGGAGGGCATGTCACCTGGAGGAAGTGCGAGAGGGAGGTATCCTGGTCGAAGTGGTAGTCAGCACCGGCAGGGGGAGGCGCTATGTGGTGCAGGCGGTGGTAGGTGAGCAGCCCTGCATGTGAGTAGAGAGAGAGGGTGGTCGCCTGGCTCTCGGCGTCGCTGCAAGCACAGTCGTACCAGAACACGTGCTCTGCACCCGCATACCGCATGTACTCGATCCACTGGAGATGGGGGAAAGGGAAGAAGGAGCCGCAGTGGGAGTGGGGAAGAAGGAGCAACCACATAAGTGTGTGAGCGCACAAGGCACAGTCGTACCAGAAGATGTGCTCAACGTCGGCATAGCGCACGTACTCTACCCAATGTAAGGACACGACCCTCCCTCCGCGACACCACTCTGTGGAACAATATCTCTTGGGCCACTATGCCTCGAGCCACTAACCCATGGGCCACTACCCCCAGGGCCAGCACCCCTCCTTTGAGTGAAGCGCGCACCTGGAAGGTGGAGAACGCAGCAGCCTGGCACTGCTCCGACCACACGCCAGCACCACCAGTCGCAGCAGCAGCGGCAGCAGCACGGTTGAACGCCATGGCTGACAGGAAGAACCTCCACTCGCCCTCCCGCGCCTCGCTAACGCTACCCCTGCCACTTGCACTCTCATGGCCGCCCCCGCTGGCCCCCCTGCTACCCCCCCTGCTCTTCCACCTCCCTCGCTCATCCCCTGTGTGACTGCCTTGACTTGTCTGACTTCTCTGACTTCCTGGCCTACGTTGACCCAGCCCCACTGCCACCTTCCCCCCCACCCCTAGGTCAATGGCCCCCACCATCCCTCCCCCTTCTCCTCCTCCCCCTCCTTCCCCTCCTCTCCCTTCCCCCTCCGCCGCCCATTCTTCCCCCAGCTTGCCCAGCCAATACCTGTGCTTGCTGCCAGCTCCGCTCCAGCCAATGGGATGCAGCCACGTGGGCAGGAGGCGAGAGAGCCAGGGAGGGAGCCACGTGGAGGAGGACGACTGGTGGAGCGAGAGGAGCACGTGGGCCAGCCTGGCACGGCCGGCAGCATCGTATGGGTCGGGCTGGTCAGTCCCATTACCTGCCGAGAATGCGCTGCTGTTCCTGCCGCCATTGCCATCTATCGTTCCACCGCTGTTGCTAGTCGCGGGGCAGAGTGAGCGGCGGAAGGAGCGCGAGAGGGTGGCGTTGGAGCATGCGAGGGCAATGGCAGCGGCCTCGATGCTGCGAGTCACGCCTGCCAGCATGCGCGCATCAGGGTCCCGCTGCTGGGGGATGGAGCAGGTGGCCACTGGGGCAGGTGTATCTGCGGCCCGGAGGCGAGGGGTGTAGGGGGGGAGGAGTTGGTTTGGGAGAGAGGAGTGGGGGGAAGAGGGAGAGAGGAGTGGGGGAAGAGGGAGAGAGGAGTGGGGGGAAGAGGGAGAGAGGAGTGGGGGAAGAGGGAGAGAGGAGTGGGGGGAAGAGGGAGAGAGGAGTGGGGGGAAGAGGGAGAGAGGAGTGAGGATGTGTGGGACAGATGATGGCAGGTGCAAGTTTCGATGAAGAGAGGCGCATGATGGTGTGTGGGAGTGGCAGGAGGGTGTGTGGGATGGCATGACACCAAGCACGGGCCGGCACTCATGCTACCTTGCGGGTATGGCTTCAAGAGGCGCTGGAGAAAGGAATCACGCGACCTGCATGCACGGCACGGCACGGCACGGCCACACATATGGGGCATGGGGCATGGGGCATGAGGCATGGGCATGACAAGACACAAGGCAGGTTAGTGCCATGTGCTGACATGCCATGGGTTGCCATTTGCTGACATGCCATGGGTTGCCATGATCCATGTGGTGCTGCTGCTATGCAGGGATGCACATGCAGCACAGGGTGGCACAGCATGGCACACCGTGCAGAGTGCAGCACCATGCTGCATCACACCATTCCCAACAGCCCACTCCTCCACCTCGCATGCGCCAACGCCTCTTAATGCCTCATGCTCCTCCCCCACTCCCCGCCGAGTTGTCCTCTCCCCTAACCCCCCACTCCAACCCCCCCCCCCCTCCCTCCCCCGCTCACTCCAGCATCTCGGGGAACACTGCAGCCAGCGCGTCCGCGATTTCCGCCGCCCATTGCGCTAATTCCGTCACATTCCGCAGCGCCCCCATGTCCTGCGACTGCTGCTGCGACTGTAGCTGCGACTGGTCGCCGTCGCCCTGCGACTCCACGGCGGCTTCTCCGCTCCCCTCGTCGTCCGAGCCTGCTGCCGAGCCTCCCGCATCCGCGGATCGGAGGCTCGGCGCTGAGTTGGGGTAGAGCGCATCGCGGGATGGGGGGACGCGGAGGGGGGAGAGCGGGGAGGAGAGGCGGAGAAGCAGCGCCGCCTGCGAGAGTAGCAGCGCGACGGCCGCGCCGAGCAGGAAGGGGCGCGCGGAGAAGAGGGGGAGTGCGAGGGCGGACGGGGGAGAGTTACCGGTGGGGCGCGGGGACTGAGCGGAGCCGCGGGGCGGCATGCCGGCGGAAGCTTAAAGCGCGGCGGCGACTAGTACGACGAGCATGGCGGAGCATGCTGTGCGGACTGACGAAGAGTGGAAGGCGGGCTATTCACTGCGACGCGAGTGGTTCACGTAGCGAGGACAGCGGGACGCGAATGTGTCACACAGACAGCGGTCGCCCGTGGTGTCGCACCTCCGACGAATGGGCGATCGGCTCATCGACCCTGGCGAACCCCATTGTCGCTCGCTTGCCCGCTGAAGGATATGAAATTCACACAGCTGACCCGTGCACGTGAATTTGTGTCTAGAGAAACGTCTCCAACAAATTCACTTTTTGTGAGCAACCAGCTTTGAGACATTTTGCCCACCTGGCACGCGTCAGCCAGCAAGCGCGCAATGCCACGTCACCATGACATCGCCCCTGCGTACTATTAGTCATGACCACATGGTCCCCCGCTGCTGCCGGGATTTCCGCCGCAAGGGCCGCCGTCTTTCTCGGCCTGGTCCTCCTCCTTTCCTCCGCGCATCCGGCGCAGTCGGAGCGCCTCTTCGGGTCGCTGTTAAGAATAGGACGCGAGTTCGCCGCGACGCGCCTTAGATGGCCTACTAACAAGGACCCGCCTACGATCCCCTCGCTAGCGCAGCTCCCCCCAGAACCCGACCCGCGCATCGATAACTATGACTTGGAAGGGATGCGATCGATGCGGCCAGTCTCAAGCTGCCACGTGGCCCGCCGGAGCTGTCGGATCCGGAGCTCCGGGTGAGGCTCGGCAGCGTCGCCCGAAGTAAGGAGTCGTGGCTCGGCAGAGCGATGGACATGGACGAGGCGTGGGCGGCGTGGGATAAGGCCGTGGGATGCGCCGCGTTCCGATCCAAGCACGCAGGTTCGGCGCCTTTGGGTGGTCTAGACTGTCAAATAGTAGCTCGATTGAAGCTTCTATGAAAAGTCAAATCATATTAATAAGATCTTATGTGCTTGGCTCCTTTGCACGTGTGTGTGTGTGGTGTTTGGGGGGGGGCGGGAATGGGGAGGAGGGCATCCAGATTTGATTGCCGAGTACCAGAATGCCACGTGGCCCGAGAGCAGCAGCTTCCAGGATGCGTCCTCTCCACCGTGTTCGGCTCTCAGGCTGCCTCATGTCACGATTCAGGTGCTGCCAACAGAAAGGCCAGATTCCTGTGATGCGTCCGTGCGTGTGTCCACTCGTCCAGAGGCTAGACTGCATGCCATAACCGTCTCAGCCTTTCTCTAGCCGTTCACATGTCGTCTAGACTCTTACCGATACCACATGCTGTTATCAGGTATCCACCATTTTGACTCTCCTTAGCTTTGCTCCTCCCCCTCACTTCCATTCACCTCTCCCTTCCTTCCAGGTGGTTTCCTCGCCCTCCGTGCCTGACTGGCTGGACGGGCTCTTCGCCTGCCCGTGCCGCCTCTCCTGCTCCTTCTCCCGCAGCGCCGCCCTCGCCGCCTCCCCGCACGCGCTGCTCTACGAGGGCGAGTTGCCCCGAAATATGAGCAACCAGCAGCGCGACAAGGAGGAGGGAGGTCGGCCCCTTGTTGTGCGCATGGACATGGAGGGACATGTGGCCACGGACGCACCGCCACAGCATGCTCATGCTCATGCTCATGCTCATGCTCATGGTGCTGCTGATGGTGCTGCTGATGGTGCTGCTGATGGTGCTGCTGATGGGGCTGCTGATGGTGGTGGTGCTGGTGATAATGGTGGTAGTGGCAGCAGCAGTGGTGGTGCGGATGTGACAGTAGGGTATGGCCCGGATGCGGATGTGCAGGTGACGTACGCGGGGCAGCTGGAGCATGCTGACCGCAACCGACACGTGTCTGGGGTCAAGAGGAAGGTGGGTGTCGTGGGATGGCAAGGCATGGGGGTGGCATGGTGTGGGGGTGGCGTGGCGTGGGGGTGGCGTGGCATGACCTCGTGCAAGCTGTGCATCTCTGTTTCGAGCCCCCTCGTGCCACCTCGCCTATTTCGTCCCCCACCTGCCCATCCCGTCCCTGCCTGCCGCAGGGTCCTCCTCTCATCCACGCTGCATCTCGGCCGTCCTCCTGGCGCGAGCGCATTGGAGCGGTGGTGCGGCGCATGGCGCACAGCATTGGCAGCCGCACCAACAACATGAAGGAGGATGACGCCGATGTGCTCGCTACATACACCATGTGCCGGTGAGTGCTCTATACATACAGCATGTGCCGGTGTGTGCTCGATAAACACAGCATGTGCCGGTGAGTGCTCGATACATACAGCATGTGCCGGTGAGTGCTCGATACATACAGCATGTGCCGGTGAGTGCTCGATACATACAGCATGTGCCGGTGAGTGCTCGCTACATACAGCATGTGCCGGTGAGTGCTCGATACATACAGCATGTGCCGGTGAGTGCTCAATACATACAGCATGTGCCAGTGAGTGCTCATACAGCATGTGCCGGTGAGTGCTCGATACATACAGCATGTGCCGGTGAGTGCTCGATACATACAGCATGTGCCGGTGAGTGCTCGATACATACAGCATGTGCCGGTGAGTGCTCGATACATACAGCATGTGCCGGTGAGTGCTCGATGCATACAGCATGTGCCGGTGAGTGCTCGATACATACAGCATGTGCCGGTGAGTGCTCGATACATACAGCATGTGCCGGTGAGTGCTCGATACATACAGCATGTGCCGGTGTGAGCTAGATAGCAAGGTGATGTGCCTGCCTGTGCTGCGTGTGACATGGAGCACAGCACAGGCAGCGGCGACTTTGTTTGACCAGTTGTGCTGTTCTCTGCGCCCGCTGGCCCCCCTATTCCCTGTACGTCCTGTGAGCAGGTATGCAGGCATGCACGGTCAGAGGGTGGACTCGGACGGTGGGGGAGGGAGCAAGGGGAAGGGCGTAGGTGAGAATAAGGAGAGGGGGGCCAAAGAGAGTGAGGGGGAGGGCGTGATTGAGTCTGCAGCAACAGCAGAAGCAATGCGAGTGGTGGAGGAACGAGGAGGAGGAGGGAGGAGGGAGGAGGAGGAGGAGGAGGAGGAGGAGGAGGAGGAGGAGGAGGAGGAGGAGGAGGAGGAGGAGGAGGGAGGGGGTGGGGGGAAGGGGGGGGAGAGGGAGGAGGCAGCAGAGTGGACTGAACAAGCTGAAGAGCGCCCAAGGCGGCCAATGAGCATGCGAGAGATACGCCTTGGAGGGATACGCCTTGGAGGGATACGCTTTGGTGGGGGGGTGTGTGGGGCGGAGTGAGGAGAGCTGGGAGGAGGAGGAGGACGCAGGGGCGGGGATGCGCGGGGGGGGCACAAGGACTGGTGGGACCACTTGCACTGCGTGCAGTCACACTACCTCTTCAACCTTGTTATAGAGTCACGCGAGGAGAGGGGCTTCGTGACAGAGAAGTTCTTCCATGCGCTGGACGCAGGTGCGCAGAGGGAATGGCCATGTGCTCATGCAGGGGCGTGAGACCATAGGGCGTCAGACCATAGGGGGGTGAGACCTAGGGGGGGAAGACCTAGGGGGTGAGATCTAGGGGGGTGAGACCTAGGGGGTGAGACCTAGGGGGGGTGGGACCTAGGGGGGTGAGATCTAGGGGGGTGAGACCTAGGGGGGTGAGACCTAGGGGGGTGAGACCTAGGGGGGTGAGACCTAAGGGGGTGAGACCTAGGGGGGTGAGATCTAGGGGGGTGAGACCTAGGGGGGTGAGACCTAGGGGGGTGGGACCTAGGGGGTGAGATCTAGGGGGGTGAGACCTAGGGGGGTGAGACCTAGGGGGGTGAGATCTAGGGGGTGAGACCTAGGGGGGTGAGACCTAGGGGGGTGAGACCTAGGGGGGTGAGACCTAAGGGGGTGAGACCTAGGGGGTGAGACCTAGGGGGGTGAGACCTAGGGGGGTGAGACCTAGGGGGTGAGACCTAGGGGGGTGAGACCTAGGGGGGTGAGACCTAGGGGGTGAGACCTAGGGGGGTGAGACCTAGGGGGGTGAGACCTAGGGGGTGAGACCTAGTGGGGTGAGACCTAGAGGGGTGAGACCTAGGGGGGTGAGACCTAAGGGGTGAGACCTAGGGGGGTGAGACCTAGGGGGGTGAGACCTAAGGGGGTGAGACCTAGGGGGTTGAGACCTAGGGGGGTGAGACCTAGGGGGGTGAGACCTAAGGGGTGAGACCTAGGGGGGTGAGACCTAGGGGGTGAGACCTAGAGGGGTGAGACCTAGGGGGGTGAGACCTAAGGGGTGAGACCTAGGGGGGTGAGACCTAGGGGGTGAGACCTAAGGGGGTGAGACCTAGGGGGTTGAGACCTAGGGGGGTGAGACCTAGGGGGTGAGACCTAAGGGGTGAGACCTAGGGGGGTGAGACCTAGGGGTGAGACCTAGGGGGGTGAGACCTAGGGGGTGAGACCTAGGGGGGTGAGACCTAAGGGGTGAGACCTAGGGGGGGTGAGACCTAGGGGGTGAGACCTAAGGGGGTGAGACCTAGGGGTGAGACCTAGGGGGGTGAGACCTAGGGGGGTGAGACCTAGGGGGGTGAGACCTAGGGGGGTGAGACCTAGGGGGGTGAGACCTAGGGGGGTGAGACCTAGGGGGGTGAGACCTAGGGGGGAGCTAGGTGAGACCTAGGTAGGGGGGTGAGATCTAGGGGGGTGAGACCTAGGGGGGTGAGACCTAAGGGGTGAGACCTAGGGGGGTGAGACCTAGGGGGGTGAGACCTAGGGGGGTGAGACCTAGGGGGTTGAGACCTAGGGGGGTGAGACGCTGAGGCAAGTGAGGCAAGTTCGTTTCATTTCAATCCGTTGACATCTGTGCTTGTTTTATCATCTTATTGTGTATCCATTCCTCTCCTCTCAACCCATCACTCCTATTACCACCCCTTCCTGCCCGCATGAGCACCCCCCACCCGGCGTCCTCCATCCAGGCACCGTGCCAGTGTACTATGGAGCACCTGACATTGACAGCTTTGCTCCCCCGGACTCGTTTCTGAATGCGGATTTGGTGCATCGGGACGAGTTAAGGCGCACCATAGCCTCAGTTGCTGAGGACCCGGTGAAATACGCCAACTTCCACGCCTGGCGCAGGTGCTGTGGGAAACCGGACAAATTTCCCTCCTTGATGGCGCATTGTGTTGAATTGAATGGTATTGTCTGGTCTCATTCTGCACGATGGGTTTTCACAGCAGCCCAATACTTTGTTTGTACCGACTCTACCGGTACTTGCCGATGCAGGTGTGGAGTATTGGGTCATTACCAGCGTGCGCTTAGTCTCAGCATCGACTCATTTCCTTGCAGATTGTGCGCGCATATAAGCAGCAGAAGTGTCGGCATTTCCTCTTAAAATTGTAATTGTATGTTGTAGTGTTGCTGATGTCATCCAGCGGTGTAGGATTGTAATGTAATGCGTGCAAGACGTTGCATCGAGCTCCTAACAGCGAGGACCATCCCACCTCTCAACCCCGTGCTATCGTCTGTCATCAGGCCGAAACCGCAAGTTCCGTTGCCATTGTAGCCGCTACAATAGCAACAGACCCCCTTCCTCCAGTAGTCGCTTCACCCCCAGCCTAGTCTACCTCGTCATTGCCCCGCCTGTGCTGGTAGTTAGCTTCAGCGATTTCAACGGACTTTCTCTTCCCCGGCCTCGCGATAGTGCGTCACCCCGAACTCGCCCTACTTAGTAGCTGATCTCGCCATTGACCCCGCCACCCTGCCCACCATGCGCGGCGACGCGTCCCCAGCCGCGCATGCGCACACGTACACGTCCCCGCTCGAAACCCTAGAGTCCTCCGTCACCGTCCTCGGCGGATGGCACCCGCTGCCCGCACGCCAGTCCGCCTCCGCCTCCCCCTTCCAGCGCGCCGCCTCCACGGCGGGCGCGGGCAACGCGATATGGGAGGCGTCGGTGGTGGACGTGCGCGCGTACCTCGAGGCCGTCGAGCGCCTCTTCGACCTCATCGACGCTGCCAACATGCCCGGCGCGCCGCCGGGGATGGGCGGCGTGCGCGAGACGGCAAAGGCGGTGCTGGGAAGCGTGGTGCCGCGCCTGGAGGAGGGCTTCCTGCAAGTGCTGCTGGCGGAGAGCCACGCCGTGCCGCCCGACCGGGTACGCCGCCATGGTGGGCTGCCACGTGTGCTTGTAACGCCGCAAAGCAGAGCCGCGGTGTTGAGCTTGGCACACTCGCCGCTTTCAGTCCGTACCCTTCGCCCCAACACCCACACTGGTTACACTATTCCGTTCCCCTTCCCGCGACTCTTCTCACCATCTTTTCCGGTTTTTTTCCGCCCTGTTTCCTTCCCCCGCCCCGCTCCTCCCTCCCACCGCCCTTAGGTCAACGAGGCCTTCCGCCGCGTGTCCAAGCCCCCCCGCTCCTCCGCGCCCCTCTCCCCCTCCGCGCCCTCCACCCCCGCCGCGTCGTCCGAATGCTCCTCCCCCTCGTCCGTGTCCCTCTCCGTCTCCGCGCTCGACCGCGCGCCCTCCTTCCTCCCCGAGCCCGCCGTCTGGCGCCTCCACGCCATTGCGCGCGTGGCTGCGCGCGCGGGGCTCTCCCCCGCGCTCAGGCGGAACTACCGTACCGTGCGCAAGGTAAGTGGATGGGAAGTGACGCGCAAGGTAGTCTTAGTCGGAAGTTGAGGACTGGGCGTGAGGCGGGTTCACGGGGAAGCAGCAGAGTGGGCGCAGTATTGCAGCCGTTTCTTTGGCGTGACTCACATGTCTTTCCCCTCAGAGTGGCCTCGCAACTCTCCCCCCTCCCCCCGCCCCCTCGCCCGCACAGGCAGTCCTAGAGCAGTCACTTTAGCAGCTGGCAGCGGGACGCTTTGACCCGCGCCTGGTACCCACTCTGGAGTGGGAGGAGCTGGCAAGCGGGATGGACCTGTGGAAGGCGTGCGTCATTCCTTCCCCCTCTCCTCATCTCCCCTCCCCCCTGCATTCTTTGAGGCGCCTCAAAAATAGTCTCCCCCCCCCCCCCCCTGCATTCCCTCTCTTCCCCCACAGGCGGTGCTAGAGGAGTCGCTGAAGCAGCTGGCAGCGGGGCGCTTTGACCCGCGGCTGGTACCCACCCTGGAGTGGGAGGAGCTGGCGAGCCGAGTGGACCTGTGGAAGGCGTATGCACGGCGGGGGGTGCGCGTGCTGCTGGCCGCCGAGAGGAAGCTCTGTGAACGGGTGTTCGACACAGTGGAGGTGGGTGCTGAGAGGACTCACTAGGATTGCTTGGGACTCTTTGGAGCTCTCCGAACGAAACGATCTGCGCATCACACATATCAAGCGCCACTTCTTTTGAGGTGCCTCAAAAACCACTTCTTTTGTTGCTGGCCCTCTCCCGTTGCCAACCGCCTCCACCCTTTTCCCCGCCACGACAGCGAGCTGTGCTTTGCGCACATGGCAAAGGGCAGCATGAGGCTGCTGCTTGACTTGGTGGAGGCCTTTGCACCCATCCCCTATCCCTTGCACCCTGCCCCCGTTGTCCGTCACCTCCCGGTGTTCCCGTGCCAGGATAGTGAGCAATGCTTTGCGGACACGGTGAAGGGCAGCATGGGGCGGCTGTTTGACTTCGTGGAGGCCTTTGCGGCGGGCAAGAAGGCGCCTGAGAGGCTATTTGCCATGCTCGACATCTACGAGACGCTGCAGGACCTGCAGCCCGACTTCAGCGCGGTTGTGTGCGGTACGGCCCAGGACTAGCCCATGCGAGCTTTAATAGAAATTGGGGGCTTGACAGAAGTGGTGAATTGGGTCTACTGTGCGCTGAACAGCCGCTCATGTTTTGCTGCTTGGCCCCCTGCCCCCAACCCTGTCTCCCTCCCAGGCAACGGTGCGTGTCGCAGTGTGCGCAACGAGCTATCCGTGGTGCTGAGCTACGTAGGCGTGGCGGTGCGCGGCATCCTTGCGGACTTTGAGCGCAACATTGAGAAGGAGGACAGCCGCCCGCCGCCCACGGGGTCCGTGCACGGGCTGACGAGCTACGTGGTGAACTATCTCTGCCTGCTCTTCGAGTACCGCGACACCATCAACAAGCTCTACAGCAGTGGTGGTAATGCTGTCGTGGTGCCCGTGCCCAAGCTGCTAAGGTTGAGGTCGGACGAGGAGGAGGAGGAGGAGTTTGTGGAGGAGGAGGTGCAGGGGGAGGAGGAGGGGGAGGAGGGGGAGTGGTGGGGGAGGATGGGCTGCGGTACTGGGGCGAGCCGCTGGAGGAGCACCGCGAGGTGGGGCGCAAGATCAAGGGCATTCTCAAGGTGCTGGAGGCGAAGCTGCTGGTGAAGGCGCTGACTTATAAGGACGCGGGGCTGGCGCACGTCTTCATGATGAATAACGTGCAGTACATCGCACGCAAGGTGGGCGGTACATCGCACGCAAGGTGGGCGGTACATCGCACGCAAGGTGGGCGGTACATCGCACGCAAGGTGGGCGGTACATCGCACGCAAGGTGGACGGTACATCGCACGCAAGGTGGGTGGTATATCGCACGCAAGGTGGGCGGTACATCGCACGCAAGGTGGGCGGTACATCGCACGCAAGGTGGGCGGTACATCGCACGCAAGGTGGGCGGTACATCGCACGCAAGGTGGGCGGTACATCGCACGCAAGGTGGGCGGTACATCGCACGCAAGGTGGGCGGTACATCGCACGCAAGGTGGGCGGGTTGTCTACATGCGAGGAGAGAGGTGCATTGTGCGCGAGGTGAGCCCCTGACTGTTTTGCTCTTCAGCCCTTCCTTCTTGAGCTGCTCCATGCCTGCTCGAATGCTCGTCCATGCTTCTTCAACTCTTCCCCTGGTGTGCCTCTCCTCTTCCCCTGGTGTGCCTCTCCTCTTCCCCTGGTGTGCCTCTCCTCTTCCCCTGGTGTGCCTCTCCTCTTCCCCTGGTGTGCCTCTCCTCTTCCCCTGGTGTGCCTCTCCTCTTCCCCTGGTGTGCCTCTCCTCTTCCCCTGGTGTGCCTCTCCTCTTCCCCTGGTGTGCCTCTCCTCTTCCCTGGTGTGCCTCTCCTCTTCCCCTGTTGTGCCTCTCCTCTTCCCCTGGTGTGCCTCTCCTCTTCCCCTGTTGTGCCTCTCCTCTTCCCCTGTTGTGCCTCTCCTCTTCCCCTGTTGTGCCTCTCCTCTTCCCCTGGTGTGCCTCTCCTCTTCCCCTGGTGTGCCTCTCCTCTTCCCCTGGTGTGCCTCTCCTCTTCCCCTGGTGTGCCTCTCCTCTTCCCCTGGTGTGCCTCTCCTCTTCCCCTGGTGTGCCTCTCCTCTTCCCCTGGTGTGCCTCCTCTTCCCCTGGTGTGCCTCTCCTCTTCCCCTGTTGTGCCTCTCCTCTTCCCCTGGTGTGGTGTGCCTCTCCTCTTCCCCTGGTGTGCCTCTCCTCTTCCCCTGTTGTGCCTCTCCTCTTCCCCTGTTGTGCCTCTCCTCTTCCCCTGGTGTGCCTCTCCTCTTCCCCTGTTGTGTCTCTCCTCTTCCCCTGGTGTGCCTCTCCTCTTCCCCTGGTGTGCCTCTCCTCTTCCCCTGTTGTGCCTCTCCTCTTCCCCTGTTGTGCCTCTCCTCTTCCCCTGGTGTTCCTCTCCTCTTCCCCTGTTGTGCCTCTCCTCTTCCCCTACACACAGGTGAAGGAGAGTGAGCTGCGCATGCTGGTGGGCGACGACTGGATCCGGGACCGAGCGGACACGGTGCAGCAGCAGGCCAACGAGTACCTGCGCGTGGCGTGGACCCGAGTCATGGCGCCGCTCAGAGAGGTCCCCACCACCTCCTTCCTCAACCCCAAGGGCTCCCTCAAGGTAATCCCAAGGGCTCCCTCAAGGTAATCCCAAGGGCTCCCTCAAGGTAATCCCAAGGGCTCCCTCAAGGTAATCCCAAGGGCTCCCTCAAGGTAATCCCAAGGGCTCCCTCAAGGTAATCCCAAGGGCTCCCGCAAGGTCATCCGAAGGGCTCCCGCAAGGTAATCCCAAGGGCTCCCTCAAGGTGATCCCAAGGGCTCCCTCAAGGTAATCCCAAGGGCTCCCTCAAGGTAATCCCAAGGGCTCCCGCAAGGTCATCCGAAGGGCTCCCGCAAGGTAATCCCAAGGGCTCCCTCAAGGTGATCCCAAGGGCTCCCTCAAGGTAATCCCAAGGGCTCCCGCAAGGTAATCCCAAGGGCTCCCTCAAGGTAATCCCAAGGGCTTCCTCAAGGTAATCCCAAGGGCTCCCTCGAGGTAATCCCAAGGGCTCCCTCGAGGTAATCGCAAGGGCTCCCTCGAGGTAATCCCAAGGGCTCCCTCAAGGTAATCCCAAGGGCTCCCTCGAGGTAATCCCAAGGGCTCCCTCAAGGTAATCCCAAGGGCTCCCTCAAGGTAATCCCAAGGGCTCCCTCGAGGTAGTCCCAAGGGCTCCCTCGAGGTAATCCCAAGGGCTCCCTCGAGGTAATCCCAAGGGCTCCCTCGAGGTAATCGCAAGGGCTCCTTCGAGGTAATCCGAAGGGCTCCCTCGAGGTAATCCCAAGGGCTCCCTCAAGGT